AGAGCTCCTGTGGAGTTACGCATTAGTTCGTGGACAAGATGTATTTCGATCGCCTGCGAGGGGGCTTGTAATCACTGAATCTTCCTTCATTAGGCAGTGATTCTGGGTAGACCTGGGATATCACGCAGGCGAGGGTTGATGGGTGACATCCAGATTATGGAAGGGCGGGAGATTCTTGGGTTATGTGGCATATGCAAGGCAAAGCATCCCTCGAGCAATCAGCAAGGGCAGAACGAACAAACAATACAAGGCAAAGTTGGTTTTCCAGGTATGAGAGGACAGGATCTCAGGCTCCGTCAACAGGTGTAGAGAGAGAAGGGAATCTGAAGCATGAGACGATAAAATGTCTCGTCACATTAGAGAACTGGTCAAGATTCTTTGGCCATGTAGCTCTCTACGAGGTCCGTACTTACTAACGAAGCGGACGGTCCCGGGTGAGTCATCAAGGCCACCTTATTTCTTCATCCTACATGGCAGGGAGAAACGTCGAAAGACATAGATTCCAACTTACTCAAAAACTCGAGGAGGAGGAGAAATCTCTCTCCCTCAAAGCATCGGAACATACTCTCGATCTGGCCTCCGGGGCTGAAGCTTTCCAAAAGAGGACATCAAAGGCAAGGTGACACAAGGTACCATAGCCTCCACCAGCAGACGCCCTCGACCCATGGCGAAAATTATCAAACTCAAGACCTGGGCACTTCTCCAGCTGACACTCAGTCCCCTCACTCGAGTCCCGCATCCCAACAAGAGCAATATACCTAGTACTCAACACGCCATTCCAGCATTTGCCGGGCTGAGGTACATGACACCACCTCCATCAGCCTCACACTGAAACTTCGCAGCCGTTCCTCTTGGAAAACCGCGCAAGACCGCCGGAAAGGGATACGTGGGGCCGCACCTGTACCCGTAACCTGTATCGGTAGTTCCATCACGTGTCAAACGACAACCGTTCGGCAACGTCCCCTTCTAGAATCGGAGGAACGGCGTCTATACGAGGCTTCCAGGTCGGGGAGATAACCCTCACCGTCCCGGACCGGCCAACGATCAACGATGAATGCCGGATTAAGCATCGTCACAAATCATGGCCCACCCTCTCTGAGCACACGCGCGCGCGCGCGCGCGAGAGCTCAACGGAAAACGAGAAGGATTCCACCCGCCCTTCTAGCCTCAAAAGCCATCATATAGTCCAAAGGAACTCGTCGAAGAAGAAGAGAGCGGGGTAGAAAAGCCCATCATATTCGGCCCTTGCAAGTCCCGAGTACATACCCAGGACGCCGGATGGGCCAACGCCGCATCGATCTCGTTCGCCGCGTGTTCAACGGACGTGATGTCTCATCCTGGATCAGTCCAAGAAACGAAAGAAAAATCACGCAAAACTGCTAATGGATATTCTTCTTCTTCTTCCCGCTCCTCATCTTCCTCCTCCGCCGTCACCGTCCGGATCCGGAACCCGGGGAGTCTTGCCGGCGCCGGAAGAGGTATCGCCGTGGCAAACTAACGACGACGAGGGACCTCAAATACACGTGTCCAACGGAGGGGAACTCCCACACCGAGTACCGTAGACTGAGTTGCCCTCACAGGCCAAGACCTGCCAAGGCTTTCTTTGTGCACTGCGGCACCCTGAAAAAAACCGCGCAGGCGAGTCTAATTCTTCGCATCTCGTCAAAGTTTCGGAAGGGAAGCAAGAGAAGGGCGGTAGGTACCTAGTTCCCTCCACAGAGCGGGTGCCCGCGTCATTAACTACACTAGTAATTCTCGGAAAAGCAAAGAAATGGACAAAGAAACGAAGAGTGCATGATGATCTTTTAGAACCTGGAACGTCCGGATCTGGAGTAATTCCAGAAAACTCAGCTTCGCGGCGGCCAACACCCGCGGGCGGGAACTGCACAGCGCGGTTTACGAGCTTGCGATTGGCCCATGGGTAGATGACATGGGCCAGATTGGGAAAGTGGAGAGTCGTGAAAAGGAAGAACGGACGCCCCTGGTCTGAGAGGTAATCAATTGTGTGCTGCGGGTGGTTAATCAAGACGGCAATGCAGAAGTTGCTGTTCAAAAAAAATAGTACTCAAGGATTGCGAGAAAAGAGCTCTGACAGGGAAGGGGATGGTAATAGAATTTAGACGTTGCTTCTTTCCGGTGAATGAGGGCCCATGATTGGCTGAGACACCCGATCCTAGATGAGAAAAGACTTGGATGAAGGTTTGGCAGCCCGAAGAATTGCTTCTTTGACAGCAGCAGTGGCTGACTGGCTGCAGTGCCTTTGACGAACCAACGTCTCCCTCTGCATCCATCGAATCTCTCTTCTCTGCATGTCGCTCTTGGTCCATCTCGTTGTCATCTCGTGGCTTACCCAGACTGGCGTCAAGTGCAGCTGCGTGACAAACCAATATCAAATGAGCTGGCGTAGTCGAAGCAAACTGACTTACGTGCTTACCTCGCTCAGTATAACCGATCGGAGCTGAGAGTGGGACAGGAGCGATAGTAAAAATACCAAGACCGAGTAGGACAGGACGCACAGTCAGCAGGCGAAAGTCCGAAGCCAAACTTATGCAGTGCCAACAATACGCACGAAATGCCGTCCTGCGGCCTGCCGGAGGCATGCACAACGCAGCGTTAGCGCTCGGTAGGTATGAGACCTGGAATGGCGACGTCTGCCATCTTCACCACGCGGCGTGGCGGTTGGTCCGCCGGACACTAAGATATGCCCTGCATTACCCAGAGGTCGAGGGAGCGTGCGTGCGCGCCGTGCGATGCGGTGGTGGACGGTGGTGCCCGGCGCAGCATTTGCTAAAAGCTTGAGCACTTTCGGCGGGAGAGCGGCAGGTGGATATGCGTAAGTTGGAAGTGATCGCCCCAAGCCCCCGGTTCCACAAACATCTTTTTCTCTCAGTCTCGAGCGACTAGCGCTGCTTGCTGTCAGATGAGAAGGGGGAACTCTACTGTTGTCCCCCCATTCACACAAGGCCAAGACGAAAATCCCTAGAGTGATGAGTGCAGATCTTGTGGTCTAGAGCTCTCATGGCCTCCAGGGCCACGCGAACGCACGTTCTCGTTGTCTGTTTCGAAGTTTCGGATCCAATGCCTCAGAATACGGAATTTTCCTGCTAGGCAGGATCCCTCCGTTATGACGGCCCCCGAACATGTCGCAGGGCCCTGACGATTTGGCTTCCGCTTGACTGTATTCGGTTTGTAGACAGGCAGGGGCAGCGGGGACAATGTTGGAAACACAGCGCGCGGGTTAGGCAAGGAGCATACTCCAGAGTCAAGACTCGATCAGTGCTCGACGCTGGTTCATGGTGAAAACTGCTGTGGGGGTTTTTTTTTTCTTTGCAAGTCACAATAGGCAAGTAGACAGGGAGGCCTGACACGGGAAGGCGTTTTGAGTGACTATCGTCGGCCCAGGTTGTCAACCCTCACGGTCCTCTTTGACGGCCTTCTGGCGCGATTAGCTCGCCTGTGACGATGTCGTCCCGCTGTCGCCGTCACTGAACCCCATTCGTTTCAGTTGAGTTCGTATCTTGAGATCTTCTGAGTCGGATCGGGGGGGCTGAGTCGGCAATCGTGATGTTTCTGGCGTGGTGTACTGCTGCATGGGCCGACTGAGGTTCTCGCTGCAGGACCAAAGTTGTAAGGGATCCGGATGCCAAACGTACCCGAGCTGGGACGGTGCGACGTTGACGGCACGAAAAGAAGGGTCGACCCGTACCAGGCGAATTGAAGCTTAACAGGAGGTTTGTAAGAGGCCGGGTTTCTTCAAGTGTTGCGAGATTTGGAAACAGCATAATTGTGGGAAACTGGGGAACGGTATCCCTTTTTGTTTCCTATTCTCACAAGAGGTCCAACTTGTCGAGAACCGGGTTATCCTGTTTGGGACGAAATGTTATGTGCCAGAGCTTGTGTTTACCGATTTAGTAGAGAAAGGCCGTGTCATGTCTCGCTGGCTCGTATCGGACGACGGGCGGGTTGTCAGGTTGAGACGCACGAACTCTATTGTATTGGCGAACAACATTAATGCTGGATGGATGGCAACCATGGTCCACGGTCTATGATCCATGGTCCACGGTCCATGGATGATGGGATGCCACTGCCGAGCTGCGTAGCAACCGCGTAGCTCGCTTGTTTGACCAAGCATTCTGCGAAGTTAGCAAGTGAGCATGGGTGCATCCCGACAGCCAGCCCGCGATGAGGGAGGAGGTACTCCGTAGCCCGTAGAGTACGCGGGGGCAGACAGCAGATGATAGATTGCAGTCTGCAGTTGCAGCCATCAGGATCATCAGGATGGGAGCCTCTCCCAATATCGCTCAATGGAGAGGGTGGAAGTGATATTCCGCAGATGGTGTTGTCGAGTCGTGGAGAGTGCGTAAGACGGTGGAGATGGGTCAATTCCGGCTCTGGCGTGGTCTGATTGGTAGGCAATACTTGGTGTACCTTGGAGGCGAGGTGATGAAAAGATGGAAAATGGCGCGCTGTGTAATGTCCACAAAGTCACAAACAGCGTGTACCACACTGAATAGTACCTATCTTAGTGCCCGAGGTACTGCGTAAAGTAAGGTACGGTACTTGGAGATTCGATGGTGGTGCGAACGGTGCAGCGGTTTCTGGGCACTTTACTGCCTTGGTCGAGTTGGTCGCGGTATTCCTCAAGGGCGGAGGAAGGTAGTGTTGGCACTTTGCAGTATGCAGCAAAGAGGAGATTGGTGGATGGAGTTGCATGGTCCTTGTGGTTCATGGTGGTGGATGGGCGGGCTGCACAGTCCAGACTCTAGGCCTTGCCCAAAGCCTTGCCCTGAGAGTCTTGGACCCTCGCCCGGCTCTAGCCAGGGGTGTCGGGGGAATCAAGGGATTCACAAGCGAGCAGTGCCCCCCCTTTTGCTCTTGCCATCTGGGGATCATGACCAATCAGAGCAGGAACTTGCCCCGGTCCTCACGTTTCGCTAACAGCATACCCCCTGCCCTCTCAATCTCGTGCCTGTGTCCCGCAGATTCGCTCTCCCCCTCCCCTCTTGCCTTCCTCCCACCTGCGCCTTTTCCACCTCTTTCCCTCATTAAAAGATACGTATCCATGTGCTTCGTACTTACCTAAGGCAAGGTACCAGAGCATGTACCTCCACTCTCTCTCTCCACTGTTGGTGTTCGTCCTTGGTTCCCCCGTCTCCCCTTTCAGCTTGCGCTCCGCCTGCCGCCGAACGCCCGTGAAGAACCAGCACCAAACCCAAGCAGGACGCAGCCCATCTCACTCTCTTTCTCACCATCCATCCCATCCATCTGCCATCCTTCCACCCATCCATCTCATCCCATCCCAACCCATTCATCCCTCCCCCCTCTCCATCCCGTTCGTTCCCTTCACTTCGACCCCCCCGGTCCATCCAGTCAGCGCGAGCCAAGCCAAGTCGAGCCAAGACCAGCCCAGCGCCGGTCTGTCTTTGCCTGCTTCTCTCTCTCTGCTCACTTTCGTTTCCTTCATAGCAGCCCTTTCCCACCTCCGTCTTTTCCTCCACCCAACATCTCCAGCTTCTCAGTCGCCGCCCACCAAGACAAGATCCCGTCGACGACAAAAGACATTCAAGCCCCGTCAACCCGTCGACGTCGACTTGCGGCCGACAAACGACAAACCGCCGTTAATGTCTTTCACTTCAATCGCCTAGTCGCCTCTTTTTTCCCACCACCTCAAATGCCGAGCTAGTCTCTTCGTCCACTCGTTATCCCAACTACTACTATACTACTACTCGTTCGCTCTCACTCTATCCGCTCCGAATTCCCTCGCACTTCGCACATCGACCCGTCCATTCCAGTCCAGCAAACGCCCACACGCCAGCCTCGCCTCGCCACGAATCCATTCCTCAACGTGTATCCGTCACCCCTAGCACACTGCGACTTGTCTCATCTACCCGACGGTTTTTCTATCCATTCGCTATATCTACTGCCGTTTCCCCAACTCGCGGTTTCCCTGGTACCGACCAACGGTCCACTCGCCTCGACCGTCTGATCACCCCCTCCGATTTGATCGACACCTTCTACGCCTAACGGTCTCGCTTCGTCGATCGGCATCGCTCGATCAGCGTCGCTGGCTATTTTTTTCTCACTTCATCCCCAGGCCATTTCCTCCTCTATCATCATGGCTCAATTCGACCCTAACCTGCACCTCCGTTCGCTTGAGGAGCTGGAAGCTGGTGCGTCACCAGACATCACCGTCGCCCCCTATCGAGCCTCATTTGCTGACATGACCTCTATAGTCATCCTGCCCAGACAGAACGGCTGCCTCAAGTGTGAGGACAAGGCACCGACATGCCCTACCAACTGCAAGTCCGACGAGTTCTGCTCCTTCACCATCCCGACATGTAGCACCTGTGCCCAGGCCATCTGCGCCAAGGACGACAGCAAATCATCATCCTCATCAAGCAGCAAGCCCAACACGGGTGCAATCGTTGGCGGTGTTATCGGCGGTCTCGTCGTCATCGCAATCGCCACATACCTTGTCTGGAGGTTCTTCATCAAGACCAAGAGACAGTCAATTATTCAGGAGTCCTATGCCGAGACGACCCACGAGAAGACCATCAACGAGAAGAGCACTGGCGAGCCACGACAAACCAACCGCGACTCAACACACACCGTTCACTCTATTGCATCAACAGTACTCACCCGCGCTTCCAACATTATCCAGATCGCCTACATCCCCGGCGTCACAAACCGAGCTACTCCTACGTCACCAACTCTGCTTGTCCCTCCTGTTCCCCCTATCCCGATGCACGCCTCCAACTCCGCTGCAAGCAGCCCGTCGCCGTACGAGGAGCAACACTTCTTTGTGCCTGGCGAACTGCGCGACTCGACCTATTCCGGCATCTCTGGCTACTCTGATCGCACGTCTGTCGCGAGAACCTCGTATGCTCCTCGATCTAGCATCGCTCCCAGTATCGCTTCCACCATCTACGGCAAGAATGCGGTTGTTGTAGCACCCGCTCAGACTGGTATGCGCGCCAAGGCTGCTGTGGTCAGTGTCAAGTCTATGGGTGTCGGCACCAACGGCAGCAGCACTCCTCCTGTCCCCAGTGTCGATTATGAAAAATACGCTCCTGGCCGTCCCAAGAGCCGTGACAGCACATTCAGCGTCGGATCTACCTTCCTGAACAATGCCAACACCGCCACCGCCGCCCCCGTCCAGAGAGTGCAGGTTGTCCGTGTAGGCAACGGCAACGGCCCTAAGCAAGTCAGCGTTGGATCCAAGGCATCATCAACATCAGAAGAGATCTCGGCACCAGGCACACCTCTGCCACCCAGCACAACCGCGGCCGCCCGCGAATCAGCTGCCGTGACAGTTATCGATGAAAGCCCGGCAGTCGACCAGGGCCCCTTCTCCGACCCTCCTGAGCCATCCCCAGCTGCTGTTCGTAGCAACCACAGTCTCAGTGCCGTGATTGAAGAGGCAACAAGGCGAGCCGCCGCCGGCCCCGACAGACGGTCTCAAAGGACAAGTTCTTACGAGAGGGGACGTAGTCCCTTCGGCGATGAACACGCCACGAAAGATTAAGAAAAGATGAAAAGCAATGAAAAAAAAAGAAAACCACCATATGATGGGCGTCGGCCCTGATCACGATTTACTTACAACTATTTACTTGCCTATATATCAGGGACGACCTCCCATGTTTCTTTCTCGTATCTACCTTTTGTTAGACGACCCGGTCAGAACAGGCCTACGGGACCAGACCGAGGGACGACGTTGGATGGGCAGGATTATTATGGATAGGCAATGGCGTCGTGGATATTTACCTTTTACTTATGGAAGGGTTACGGAATGAAGATAGGGGTTTACGTCAACCCATTCACGCCTTTACCGATATGTCCATTGAATAGAAATGTGACAATTCATCCACTATTTTACAGATCCAACTCTTTATAAAGTGACTTATACCAGTGACTGATACATTCCCGAGTTCCATATTTTTTTTAGTGGTTGATGCAAACTGACATCATTACGAGGTCCGTTACTATGAGCAACTGGACACGACGAGGTCTCTTGGTAACATGTCTCCCTTTGTCGAGGAGGACTGGCTGTCAGCTGAAGAAGCCAATATGCTAATACATCGTAACTTGTGTCGTGGATCCCCTGAGCCACGAGTAAGATGTAAGCCTTTCATGCTACGATACTTACCTGGGCCTGTTCACAGCAGAAGTGAGTTTAGTTTCCATGATCTACTGGGGACCAACAACCCCTTGGGAGTCCGCTGGTTGATAGTGACGCAACTTGATTACACACAAGCGGCGGAGGGACTAAGCAAGTAGGTAGTATAAAATCGGATCCACAAGTCTCAACATAGTTGCTCCTCTTCAACACGGCATGTTTATGTGTCGTGTTTGGGATACAGATATCTGGTCCTTTGTTGATCTCGTCCATGACTTATGTCGGTCAGGACAACGGACGGACATAGTTTGCTGCCGTCGAGTATGTTTATATCAGTGTCTTGCTGCCTTCCAGCCTCCCCCTGTCTCAGGCCGTATTCCTTCGAAAAGATACAGTAGCCGGACGATGAAAAGTGACCAGATGTAAATGTGTGTGGTGTTGCTGTCCGCTGCTGGTGTGAGTCACGCTGCCCATGTTTGACTCTATATATCTCAAGCTTTGAGAGGTATAGGTCGCGTCAACGTACCTTCACTTCACATCTCCTCAGCCGCCTAGAACCTTCGCCGAGCACCATGTGAAGTGAAAACTGTTCAGAGCAGCTGGGTCTTATTTTATAGCTGAGAGGATCTTTGTGTGGATTTAATAAGGTAAGGTATGGTGTGAGATGCGGTTGGGCAGTTGAGCTTCTTTCTGTTCCCGAAGATGGGAGGGAAGGAGGCAGAGATGGGACATAAGAGCTACACGATGCCGAGGAGAGAGAACCTTGGTAGCTGCTTCTTTGGCGATGATTATTGGGTTGCTGTAAACTTGGTAGGTGTGTCTATTTGGTGAGCTGGAGGATCCTTTGAGTGTTGCTTGATTGTCGGGTCGAGGAGGGGACTACTCGTAGGGTCTACGCTGCACAGACTGGTCTTGTTGACGGCGTATCATTGGCCTCTATGAAGAGTTTTGCTTCCTAGAATGAGAGCAGTGAGCAGGACCGCGTGTCATCGTCGCTCGTTGAGAGCCAAGGTTTTTCAGGTGGTCGATGTATCATCTCCCACCGAGCTATGAAAAGATGCATACCGGCAGGACAGAATCTGTCGATAGAGGCCGAGTTTCTATGAACAGCGTCCATGTGCTGAGGCCTCGGGAGAACACCATTTCCGATGGGCCGATGGTTTGCTTCAAGGCATTGAGATAGGTGGGCAACTAAGTAAACACGGTGAAGTGAGGAAGTAATTGCTCTCTAGAGTTTGATTGTCGAGCTGGACGCTCATCTGGGACTTGCGCTTCTCGCTAAAGCCATGTCGAGACTTCCAACGAACATCCGAAGCAGCTGATGCCAGATGGCTATTACTTGCAGACATCTGGATTGCGCTCAATAGGATGTAATTGTTCATGCAGCAAGATTCTTTCCCTCTCTTATGAGTCTAGAGGGCCGAGCGGCAGCCATGTTGTAAGATATTCATATCACATGGTCATGGACTGACTATTGGCAACTCAACTCAACCGTGCATGCAACAGGCCAATGCCGCCATGAGGTCTCGGTCGTGATGGGCGCCACGGGACTCCTCAAGTGAATGGCCGAAGTACAGCAAGAAACCCCGGGAACCGGGGTTGACAACTCAATCTGCCATCACCGTTTTAGCGCCAGGATGGGCATCACCGGCCTTCCCATCTAAACGGAAGGGAAGGGGGGCACACACACCCCCTTGTCGTGAGCAAAAAACGCGGATCGAGGTTCCAACTATGGAGCGCGCTCCGTTGGTTTGTGTTCGTGTTGGTTATGCGCCGCTCTGTTGGTTCAGCCCTGGACCGCAGCGCTTCAAATCAAACCCATGTCGCCAGACTAGGTACTGGAAGAGGGGAGGGGGCCCAGATGCCAGCCAAACCCGCCCTCTTTAAGTTCGTCTCTCTCCCCCCAAAATTTCCAACAGTCTGGGCGGTTGCAACTCGTGCCTCATAATTGTATTCTATGATTTTCTAATTTAGGTTTCCCCTTCCGATGGACTGGCAAGACTCACAAGCAGAAATGGGTTATTCTTTCAGAGACCCGCTGTTGGAGGGTCCCTCAAACGTGCATGAGACTCAATTGCACAACTCAAACGCGCCTCTTGAGCCTGAAGATGATCCCAATGTTTGTCAATTGCTCCAGACCGGTAGAAAAGAAGTGCGTTGCTGACCGTGTCATAGGCGTATAGCGATGGATTGACGATGGAAGAGCGCATGTACGAGGCAAGGCCTTGTAAGGCGGTATTGACGAACTGCCCCGATTGCTAACCACGTCCTGCTCCATTCCAGTGCAAAGTACACCACCTCGATAACGTCAAGCGTCGTCGATTATCCCATAGAATATGGTCGTCGGTACCACGCCTATCGCCCCGGCAGTATGTTCAAAAACTTTGCCGCTGCTGTTTTCATTCTTATTCTACAGAGCCGACATGTTGGGGGGGTAAGCTTATAAATTCCCAAACGACGAGGTGATTTGCCGGTTTTTCCAGTTCATCTCGTGTGAGGATACATGCTAATGGAGTTTGTCCAAGTATGAAATGGACAGACTCGATTATGCTCATGCCATGATTGTCAAGGCAATAGGGAGCAGGCTCTTCCACGCCCCTCTAGACAAGGACAAGATCCGTGCGATTCTTGACATTGGAACAGGAACTGGGATCTGTATGCTAGCACACTCTTCCAGAATCCGGGTGATACTAAACGAGCGCTGACTGGGATGACTTTGAAGGGGCCGTGGAAATGGGCGATATTTTCGAGAATGCCGAGGTGGGCTAATTCGCGGAGTCCTCCACTACGCCGTCTCGTTGTATGCTGACATTTCTGGTAGGTTTTTGGGAATGACTTGAGCGCCATTCAACCCGAATGGTAAGTCTTCTTCGTACTGGTTCCTCCCGGAATTGAGCTGACAGGAGAAAAAGGACTCCTGCCAACGTCAGTTTTGAGATTGACGACGTTGAGAGCCCCTGGGTCACAGAAAATAAGTACGACTTCATCATGTGCCGCTACATGACGGCCTCAATCACAGATTGGCCCAAGCTGGTTCAAAACATCTACGAGTAAGATCTCTTTTGACCCCCCCTACCCCTTCCCCCCCGAGACACAATAACTTGGAGCACTTGCAACTCTCACATCCGCTAAGACGCAAACGCAGCCACCTAAACCCAGGCGGCTGGGTGGAGTTCCAGGACATGAACCCGGAGTTCTACTCCGAGGACGGCAGCTACACGAAGGACCACGCAACCTACCAATGGAACCAGGCCTTCCTCGGCGCCATCCGCGCCACGGGGCGCGACCCGACGCCGGGCCCCACGCACGAGCGCCGCGTCCGGGCCGCGGGCTTCGCCAACGTCACGGCGCTCAAGTTCAAGGCGCCGCTGACGCCCTGGGCGCGAGATCAGCACTATCGCGATCTGGGCATGATGAACTTGCGGCTGACGGTGGACGGTCTGGAAGGGTTCTCGGTGAAGATGTTTACCGAGGTGCTCGGGCGCTCGAGGGCGGCTGTCCAGGTGGAGATTGCGCATGTGAGGAACGAGTTGAGGGCTTGGCCGCCTGCTTTTCATGCCATGGTTGATTAGTGAGTTTGGGGGGTTTCCTTCCTGGCCTTTTTCTAGCTTATCGCTCCCCTTCTCTCCCTCTCTTGAAGTGGGAGGCAAATGTCAGATGGCTCGGAGCCGAATGCTGACTTGCGTGTTTACAGTGACGTTGTATATGGGCAAAAACCATTCGCATGATCCGAAGATCTGGGTCAGGAGCGAGCATTGAAATTTTCGAAATAAGGGGTTCCTGTTGTCGATTCTTTTCGCCGTCAGATATTCCGTCTGTCTGTGTTATTTTATATTTGATACCCACGTTGCCAGTCAAGACAGGAAGCCACCATCAAAATTCGATACAGGCATAGACGAAAACTAAATTAACAAACTTGAGACCTGAGTCCGCAGGGAATTATTCAATGAGAATCATCCTAATGCCTCCTAGCCTTGTGCTAAGCTGAATCAATGGTGTTGTACGCTTCAAGGCGATGGCCATTGTCTAGCGGCATCAGATTTCGCTTCATCTTATCACACTTTTCCCAAAGGCCCCTAACCCATATATTCTTAGATGGTTGTAGAGCAACAATTTAAACGACCTCCACATACACCTTGACAGAACCTAACGTATTATCGGTACCGGTATCGGCATTGGAGCAGGGCGGTCTTCCTGGTGAGCCGCATACGTCGGAGGAGGCGCCGCAAGCCCTCCCACATCCAAAAGCTCGATCCCAGCCTCTACGCCACCGCCCCCGGCGCCGGGCCTCTCGTACGTCGGAGCCTGACAAACCGCCTGGGCACGCCATACGGCCCCAAAGACGACAACCGAAGCGGAGAAGACCACCGCCGCCGCGACGCCGCCCCAGCGCGAGTCCCGCGTGACGAGACCGATCGCCGGGCCGAGCACCAGCGTCGCCGCGCACTCTGCCGTCGCCGCGAGGCCAAACAGCCGGCCGGCGTACTTTGAGCGCACCGCCACGCCGAGTCCGTACAACATCAGGGAGCAGCACTGGCCCGGGATGGTCGCCGCGAGGGCCGCGGCGGAGAGGGTGCCGACGAGAAAGAAGAGGTAGTGTCTGTACAGGGCGGCGGCGCTGGTGAGGACGACTAGGCCCGACGAGAGGAGGAGGTGGCGGTAGTCCCGCAGCGCGATGCGGTCGCCCGGGACACGTCGGCGGTATGAGGAGCAGCAGCCGTAGATGGAGGGGAGAAGGAGGCAGGTGATGAGGACGATGGCGATGAGCGGTGCCCAGTAGCTCACGACGTCGCCGCGAGAGGTCGTTGTGGAGGGTGAGTGGGTGATCGTGCTATACCGGGCGACGAAGTAGACGTCGAGGGAAGGAGGCGCCGTCCTCGCCAACGCGAGGACGAGGCCGAGGGTGGTAAGGAGGAGCATGGCGCGGAAAGTGTTCAGGGCGGAGAGGACGCGGTGCAGCGGCCTGGTGTCCTGGTTGACTGGGAGGATCTCCGGGGGAGGCTCGCCTCCAAAGTCCTCGAGCTGCGTGCGTAGGGGCTCTGGAACCGCCACGATGAAGCAGGTGCCGACGCAGAAGGCGACGCAGCCGATCAGAGCCGAATATTCGAGGGCCAGGGGGGGAGCATATCTGTGGATGACGTTCGAGACCACAAGCCCGGCAAGGGCGGAAGACACCACGAGGCCAAAGTGTTTCGAGCGCTGCCGGTCGTTTGTGGTGTCGCTCGTCATGGCCAAGATGGCGACCTCGGCGGATGTCTTCCCAGCGCCGATGACGAAGAAGAGGAAAAAGAGGACGCCGCGTGATGAAGTCTGAATAGTTGTGATGAGGATGCCGGAGAAGAGGCCCCAGAGGCAGGCACTCAAGACAAAAGCCCCGCGCCGGCCCTTGACGTCGGCCCATTTGCCCATGGTATAGGCGGACAGGAGGCCGCCGGCGGACTGGCAGACCAGGATGACGACCTCGGTCCACTGGAATTCCTTGTTAACGGCGTCGGTGTGACATCGAACGTGGTCGAGAGGGACTTTCTGGGGCAAGCCGTAGAGTTGTCGGCAAACAGATTCTCGTAGATATGCTTGGACGGAAACCTGCACCATCGAGGCGCCAAGGGTCATTGAGAAGACCATGAGCATCAGGAATACAAGTATGTATATGTTCCAAGCTTGGGCGGCTGTCGCGCTGTTGCTTGACATTATTGACGGCATCGTGGCCGTTTCTCGGTACCGTCTTGGGTGATTTCGTTGCGGATGATGAGGGTTATCTGATGTATCTCTTAGATACTGATGTTTGAAGATCGTCGATAGTCCTGCTTTGACGAGTCAATAACAGAAGCAAAGATCAGAGGCATACCAGAATTGCCATTTCCGCCGTGAAGAAGCTTTTCTCAGAATCTCCGGTGAAAAATAGATTTAAGAAGAACCACGGAAAACAATATGAGTGTGTATGATATTGTCAAGTCATACATGCGCCTCGTTGTCCATACTCGAGCGTGAGATGGATGTGGTGTAAGATGGGTACTTACCTAGAAAACTTCGTCACGAATGCCTCTGGCTACGTTTCTCTCTTTCGAGTAGGCTAGTCAAAACCATCCATCCGCTTAGAGCGAATTCAATAAAACAGCACAGGTCGGTCTCAGTTGTGTTGATGGAATCATATCTCTTGGGCATAAAAACTCGTTGGCGTAGACAAATCCCCTATCAAAAGCGGTCTTGAGTATGTCAGAGTAAGTATGGAATAAATCCGAGAGAACTCTTTAAAAATCATTCATCGTGAACCTTGGTAGCCCGTCACTCATAGTCCCGCGCGTAGACTTGTTTGCCGCCCACCCAGGTCTCCTTGACTTTAAGCTCCCGCAGCTCGTCAAGGTCAAAGTCCTCCAGAGGCTGGTCCAGCACGACCCAATCGGCCAGCGCGCCCTCCTTGATGAGGCCGGCTCGTCCTTCCATGAAGGCACCGTAGGCCGGGCCCTTGGTGAACCCTAGCAGCGCCTCGTCGAGACTTAGAGCCTCCTCGGTATGCCAGCCATCTTCACTTCCGTTGACGCCGTAACCCGTATGGGGGCTCTTGCGGGCGACGGCAGCATAGATACCCTGGAAGGGGTTGGGCGGCTCGACGGGGAAGTCGCTGCCTAGGATCGGGTGGACGTCCAGGAGTGACCGCATCCGGTACGCTTCTCTTTTGGTGCGCTCTGCCCCAAGTCGTAGTTCGGCGTACTTCATATCGGATGTCGCATGCGTCGGTTGGATGGATGGTATAATACCAATGTCATGGATCCTCTTCTGGTCATCCTCGTGGATGATTTGCGAATGCTCGATGCGGAATCGTCGTCGAGCCTGGCAACCTGCGAGGTTCTCATCTGGGCATACATCTCGCAGGCCGGCCTCGAGGGCGTCGACGGCGTAGCGGTTTGCCAGGTCACCGATGGCGTGGATGTTGACCTGGTATCCGACGGATGCCCAGGACCTTCCAAGCTGCTTCAAGGTCGACCCGTTGACAAGAAGAGAGCCGGCGGTATCGGGACGATCACTGTAGGGTTCGATCATGGCACTCCCCCAACTTCCGAGAGCGCCGTCTGGGAAATGTTAGCCTCGGTGGACCTTCTGTCAGACATTTCACAAAACATACCTGCAAAAAGCTTGACGGACTTGATGCTGAACGAGTCATCCTCACGGAACACCCGAGCAGCGTCCTCGGGACAGAAGGTATTACGCTGAGCACATTCCAACATGGCATATACGCGGACAGTCCAATCGTCCGTGCCTGCCATATCAGCGTACAGGTCGAGCTCTTCCGGAAAGACACCGGCGTCGTGCACACCGACCAGACCGACCTCATTCAACTTGGTCATAGCGGCGGCAATAAACGCCCGCTTCTTCTCGGGTCCAGGCTTCGGCCACAAGTTGTAGATCAAATCCATGGCGTTGTCACAAAAGACGCCCATGCCTGGCTCGCGGACGATCTCACCGCCAGGCACATCTGGGAGATCTGAGGGCAACAGATCCAGCACAGCTTGTGAAACCCATGAACAGTGGACATCTATCCGGTCAAGCATGAAGTACTTGCCCTTCAGAAGCTCGTCTTCCTCAATGTCTTTCTTATCGGGCATTAGGAACATCACTGAACGCAGAGGGGCGAAGCAAACTTACAGCCGTCGGCATCCTGCCGTATGCTGACTGATCCCAGCCAATTCCCCGAATCCATTCATTCTTGGTGCCGGCATCGGGATGGCTATCGACGTAGTCCCTCAAGCGACCCCGAACATCGTCCAAAGAAGAGGCTCCGAATAGATCGGCCGAGTAGAGAAACTCGCCATACTGACTCAGGTGACCGTGGCCATCCCACAGACCAGGAATGACGAAGCCAGCCGTGGTGGTCAAGCTTGCATCATCCCATGGGAACACACGGGTGAACTTGCCGTCGGCCACAGTGAAGCATTGGGCCGACGGCTGGTCCTCGTCGTGTGTACGGACGCCTTGGTAGCAGTACGTTTGGGTGTCATCGATGTCGCCCAAGAGGGGCTGCTGGAGGCGCACGACGGCGATTGCAACCACGGCCGCGGCGGCTGAAAGGCCCAGTCCCCACCTCAAAACTGGATTCGAGGACATGATGCTGGAATGCTAGCCACTCATCGAGGTAATTAGTGTCTCAATTTGAGTCAAACGGCTTGCTTTGTTGGAAGACGACGTCCTGAAATTCGGTGTGGAAGGTCGATATTCTTATCGCCATCTTTGATAAGGAGATGTTATCTTATCTGGATATGTGGGAGCAGGGATGGGAGTTTCAGGGATACTTCTTTAAACCAACATCCTCAACTTCATCACCTGGTGTCCTTGAAATGTCCAACATTTTTCATGGCAAAAGACATGCCATTTATGCACCACTATTGTAGGGAGAAATCTGGCCACAAGAATTCAAGTGCATCTGCGGGTAAACGGCTTGATATGCCCCTTACAAGATCCCCGTTGCTGCAAACTGCCGCCACACAGAACGTTGAGGCGTTGTCATTATGTGTTGAGTCCGCAAACGGTAATTTCAATAATTTTAGACCTCAATACTCGGGGCTTGGCGCCACATGACGGTCTCGTGGAATGACCACTAGCTCCTGTCGCTAGAAAGCTTCAAGAAGCTTGTTTCAACGGGGACGGGCTGCATTTGTCCGCGTCTTACACAGGGCTGCTTACAACTCCAAAATGTCTACTCCAACAACCTACGTTCAATGATTGAAGGGCGCAGAAATTGCCTGCCCCAGGCTCCCATCTGCCTCACCGCCAACAACAGTCATTCGCCTCAAAAATAGTCTCCTCCTCCTTCGAGATACCCAAACTCGATACCGCCAGTATTTTGATTCCTTCTCCGACATTTAAACGTTGCTTGTCGCCAAAATGCCTATGAACCGAGACCAGCTAGAAGCTCTCACGGAGAGGGACGTCCACGACCCCATCCCCTCTGAACTCTTACAGCAGGCTTTGAGCACGCCGCCCTTCCTCCCCGTCCCCGAGCTCATCAACATCCGCGACCTCGGCGCCGTGCCCGGCTCCGGCGTCCGTCAAGGTCTCGTCTACCGCTGCGGCATGCTCGAAGTCGCCAACCAGAACCCAGAGGCGCTCGATTGGCTGGCCGCCAACGTGAAGCGGGTTTTTGACGTTCGTAGCTCTGCGGAACGTGGGAAGCATCCCGATCCAGAGGTCGCAGGGGTTGCAAACACATGGCTGGAAAGCGCGGGCACTCACACCCCGCCTGACCTGAATGATTTTGTCGAGGCCGGGGGCGAAGTTGGACTTCGGAAGGAGTATCTCAAGGTCCTTGACTTATACCAGCCCATCTACCGAGCCATATTGGAGCACGTTCGTGACAAGCCCGAGGAATCTTTTCTCTTTCACTGTACCGGTATGTATACCTTCCTGGACATTCTAATGGAAAGAAGGCCGAATACCGTTGCGGCGCGTGGTCGCCAGCCAAGCTCAACTAATAGGGAACTCCCCTTGTAGCCGGAAGAGACCGCACAGGCGTGATGGCAGGTCTCCTACAATCTCTCGCGGGCACCGCGCCCGAAGACGTCCGCTTCGACTACATGCTCTCGCGCATCGGCACCGAGCCAGCGAGGGAGCGGCTCCTCCAGCAGGCCCGTGCCGGCGGCGGTAGTCTCGCTTTCGAACAGCACCGAGGCTTCTACAACCTGTGCAGCCTACGGACGTCGTGCTGGGATGCGTTTGTCGCAGCGCTGCAGGAAGCGCACGGCGGCTGGGAGGGGTACGTCGTTGGGGCTCTGGGGTTTTCGAGCGACGATTTGGCTAGGATCAAGGATAACCTTTCAGGGCGCGGAGACTAGACGTCTTGGACTGTATTGATGGTTGGAGCCTATGGCAACCATGTGCTGTTCAAGGGTTTCTCAAGGCACCATGAATACAATCAATCTCTGAGAAGGTTCAGTGGCGCGGTCACCTCGATGGTGATGTCCTCGACGTAAGGAAAGTAATACCGCCGCGCTGGTTCCTTCTCCCCCACGCAGGGCAGTAAGCAGAAGTTCCACTGAACCAACCCCTTTCATCATTGTAAATGGAAGTGTGAAGGGCGTAAAGGGTGTCTCAAACTGGCGGAAACATACCGCAGCAATCCGCCAGCCCACATCTTACCTCCACCGATGGCCATATCAGGAGAATAGCCTAAAGAACAATCCCATACGAACGAGGAAGGCTCGGCATGGAGTCGCTCTTTTTCACCGCACTCAATGCGGTCCTCGCTGTGGTGGAAAGAGCCAACTCTGCCAAGCCATATACTACTTAGCCTTAGCTGTAGACGTTGTAGACAGAAGCACAGGGGCGTTGATGAGGATAAGATTTCCCGGGAAGCATGGCAACAAATCTCTGTACACGCTAAGCGGCAAGACGACCTGGACAAGGCTTGGGGAGGATGGCACCGTGGGCGCCTTGACAGCATCGCTTTCCGCGCTTCGAGCATTTGCTCTCTGCTTCACCACCATCTTCATCTTCCTTGGCCAGAGGATCCGGCACACGAGCGATAAGGAGCCGTACGTCTGACGACCGGACAGATTGCACCATCAAGGGAATCACCGTTCCAAGATCACCAGCGATGTCATTTCCCCTCAGTGATGTTCCGTTCCATCTCAGTCCAGACCCGAGAGGATTCTCTTGACCTCGCTCGGGGGAGTCGAATCCGTGGCCAAACAAGAGGCCAGAGAGGTCTCGAACCCGCAAAAACTGACGTCGAATGATTGAAAAGTCCAAGAGGTACCCAGTCAAACCGTCGTCAGCGACCGCAAATCCCCCATGCCTATCACTCCCTCCCCCGTTGCGACTTTTCTCACACCAACAACCGATGCGTCCAACAACACACTAATCTTTGAGATCAGCCAGTGTGGTACACACAAAGAGGGAAGGTCAGACCGTCCCAGTCACCCAGTCTATCTACGTTTTGATCATCAATTGGGGGAGAAAACAAGAAACTGAAGAGAACCATTTGGGTCCAGACCCGTCCGTAAAGGTGTGACAAGCCACACCTACCTGGAACCAACCGTTACGCATGACATCATACCTTGACAAGGTACCCTGATTGACCGGGTCAGCCACAACTCTAATTGGCGGAATCCACAATCCTAGTACCTCTGGCGCAAGCGCGCGTCGCTCAGGCAAGAGACAGGGGTATGAGGCTGGACCCAATGGGCTTCCTTCCCTCGACCGCAACTCGACGTCACCAGCCACAGGACCCTCCAAAACTTGATTTTTGGGCTGATGGGCTTGGGGCTGGACGCTCACCTTGACCTCACCTCGCAGCTACGACAACAAATGGAGAGCAAAATCACTTTGAGGTCTCCCCCGAGGTTGCTGTTCTGGCCAGCCTTGGCTATTTCCCATTGCCCATGTACGGATACAGCCTGCCTGGCTCCTCCTACGTAACAATGTCTGAATGTACCCCATGTCCAGTCCCCTCCTCCCCGACGGAATGAACTGCAAGGGACGTCACCCCTTTCCCACAATCAGGGTCCGACGACACCCTCCCACTTCTCTATCCCCATCCTTGCGGATGCCCATTTGCCCATCTTCCTTTTGTCGTCAGAGGGAGGGTCACGAAACGAAAATAGGGTCCAAAGTGTGGAACCAAGGACGCAGGTTTCGGACCCTTTGCGCATCGATCCCACCAAAGGATGCCACACACCCATACTATTCATACGAAAAGAGAGATACCTAGCCTGGTTGCCTTTGGTGCAGTATGTAATATTGTAGAGACATTGAGAACTCGGACTAGAGACCTCACACACATACAAACGTAGATCCCCTGGACCCTGACATCATCCCCTCTCCCGCGGTCCCTGATCCCGCGAGACCCAACCCAAACCAACCACCCCTGTTCTGTTCACGAACCTCCCACCCCGCGATGATGACATGCCCAAATCACACAACCTTACCAACATACGCCATCTGACTTGGAACAGACATAGCTGATCGCCCTCCAAAACTACAGCCCTGAAAAGAACCACCGAGAAAACATATAAACCACCCTTCAAACCCACCTACATCGACTTTCCTTTCTCTCATCATCAGCATCAAGCTACAAAACAACCCAACCCAACTCAATCAAAACAAACAACAAAAGACTTCAAGTCTACCCCATCATCCAAACAACCCAAACCACTTAAACAAACTCTTCGCTCCCAAAAACCGCAATCATGCCTCTCAGAACCACCCGCCACACAACCACCACCGCCCCCCGCCGCAGCATCTTCTCCCGCCGCCGCGCGCCCGCCCACACAACCCACCACCACACCACCACCAAGACAACCCGCACCACCAAGCGCGGAGGCGGCGGCCTCTTCTCCCGCCGCCGCGGCCCCGTCACCCACACGGCGCCCGTCCACCACCAGCGCCGCAAGCCCTCCATGGGCGACAAGATCTCCGGTGCCATGCTCAAGCTCAAGGGCACCTTGACCCGTCGCCCCGGCCAAAAGGCCGCTGGCACCCGCCGCATGCACGGCACTGACGGTCGCGGCTCGCACCGCGCCCACCGCTACTAAGCGTGTGCGCAGTGGCGTATAAAAGATACCCCCCTATCAACCGATAGATACCAGCAAGCGAGTCTCTTATGTGTATGGATTATGATGGATTTTGGATACCTACTGTATTAGTACTGTTGAGAGCGATTTGGTTTATAGATACCATGTCTGTGTCACGATATGAAATAAACAAAGTAAAGCAAATCACTCTACACACTTGATTTTGTGAAGACTGTGACACATCGTTTAGTTACCTTGAAACGATTTGAAGTGTGATTACCTATCTGAGCTTCCTTCCCCTTAGCCACTGATTACACCTTTCAGCATCCTCCCACCGTGACATCCGTCCTCCATGGTGGCATTTGTATGCAATTGGGCAAATGGGGAAAATCTTATTGCTGTTTACTGGTGTACAGTTTATGCAGATTCTCCCAGGGTTGGGTAGGGTCGCAAACTGGCACAGTCTGAAAGAGAAGAGTTGTTCTGGTGTCCTGTCGCGTAGAAAAAGCGGTCCACGAATTGTTGTTACTCGAATTCGCACAGCAACCGGTTGCCTAGGCCTAGTAAAGAAGGCAGTAGGACTTGTATTAGGGTTGCTCAACGGTGCTTTTGAGTAATGGAGACCTGATGATTTCTTTGAGTCTCATGAAATAGGGGAAAAAAGTGCAGCCGGATCCGAAAAGCAGTCCAAGTCGAAATTGGATGTATTCTTCTGCAAGACATTAGCTGATGAATGTTACAAGATAGCAACAACTTACACAAATTTGGGGCGGACCAGTCAAAGAATGTAGGCGACTTGGTTGTTCCATCTCAATGTTTGGCCGCGGAAATACTCAACAGGTTTGCCGAATTGGCGCTTCCAAATTCCAGAAAAGAACGCGGGCGGGCTGTCTCAAAATTGTTGAAGCCAGCTGTAGAAGCTTGTAGAAGGCAGCAACGATACCAGAGCTTTTCTTTTGATGGTCCTCGGGCGAACTGCCCAGAATCACCGCAGGCAAAGAACCGGTAGAATAGACACCCAGTGGTGCCGCCAAAGATGATCCAATTTTTTTAGACTCATCAAAATCTCGCGACCGAGCCCTAGAAACGACGACGTCTCGGAGCATAGACGGTCACATCCTACTGCAACTCGTCAATATCGAGCGCATCGAAGTTCGGAGGTCGAGTGTAGGAGGTGTACCGAGGAGAAGGACGAGGGATTCGGGATCCAGCCGTCGTGATACGGGTGAACTCTTCGCGATTGTAGCGACGCAGCGAGACTGCGCTAGCCTCGCCGATAACGACAGTCGGCTTTGCGACAGGCTGCTTACCCTCACTCGACGTCAACGCAGCATTCGCATCCTTGGGGCCCAGAGCAGCTGGTGCGAGGACGCCTTTCCACTTGGCCTCCAGTTCTGGCCGCTGTTCAGGCTCCTGCTCCATTTTCTCGATGACCATGTCGCGGAGTCGATCTTCGAGGACTTCGAGATCCTGCTTGCTGGGCGACGGGTGTTTCTTGGTGCTGGGCTCAGGCTGATCGCGGAAGAGTCTCCAGCCGCCCGACAGCCTCAACTTTTTCGGAGTAGGGCTGGAAGCACTAGGGCTTCCCTCAGTGTCGTTGATGGACGCAAGATGACGGTCGTCAGCCTTTGCATACCGCTTAGAGGGGCTTTCTCCAGAGCCTGCCTTCCGGTCGGGTCGACGCGGGGTTGAAGCACAGACGGGCTTCTCAGACAAGATTCCTTCGAGGTCGGCATCGAAGTCCTTCTCAGTATCGAAAGGGTTCAAAGGAGGAACCGGAGGGACACCAGTGGAGTCAAGGCTACTCTTGAGGCGATGCTCGAAAGGAGTGGGAGGACGATTTGCGACTTCGCACTCTTCCGAGAAGGGATCTTCTGGTGAATCGCTGCCGCCAACCGAGCTTTCATCATCAGCCACGGCCTTACGAACGATGCGATCTCCGACGATGCTCTGAACCTTGTGACTGTACAGGTTGTTGCCCTCATTGAGACGAAGCTCGATAGAGCTGACGATCGACGTCTCTTCGACTTCGACTTCCTCGAGGTGATAGTACGCCGCAGGGTTGGGCAGATCGCACGTGGTCAACCCAATGGGCGCTGAGATCTTGCCCCTGATCTTCGATTCTGGCGTTGCAGGCTTAGGCAGGATGGATTCGAACACGTGGCGAACCTTGGAGACAACCTTGTGACGACGAAACAAGGAAGTCTTTGATGGAGGAAGTCTGGGTTTCTCCGAACCAGGGGGCTTCAGGGTTTGAGTCGCAGCCAGCATTGCACCGGTCTTGATATCGACGAAGGCGGGGTCGATCAGGCCTGATCTAGGACCATTCTCTGGACCAAGAATCCGGACGGGAACGTCCTCGGTGTCAAGATCCTCTTCGACGGAAGCCTGGCCGCTGATTGTCTGGATGCGAGCAGCCTGTTCGGCGGCAGCCCGGGCGGCAAGAGCCTCGGCGACAGCAGTCCGTGAGAAATCCTCCCCGTCATTGCATCCGCCGTATGAGAGTGGAACCGTGGTAGAGGGAGGCAGGCACAGAGGATGTCTGTTGCCGGGGTCAAGCATCGTGGTCTTGGAATGCGGGAAGTTAAGCATTGAAGGACGATTCTCGGGGTCGACGAAGCCATCGACACTCTTCTCCTGCTTCCCACATTGACGTAGCGAGGACTTTGCAGGGATAGCCGGAGCAACCTCGTCAATCCCCGCAACTTGGGTGTCAGACTGGCAATGAACGGAAAAGTCCTCCGATGGAAGATTAACAATTCGGTACGTCGAGGGCGCTGTGGGTTGCACATCAGGAGAGATCATAGGTGCGATAGCCATCGGCTCAGTTCCACAAAGAAGAACAGATGGATGACTGCTCAAACCGTTGGGATGATGATAGATGGTGCTCTCCAGCAAGTCGTTGGCCAAGCGGTCAACATTTTGGTCGGTGTTGCCGCCTGGATCAGGGTAACTGAAGGGATGGGCGGGACCGCTTCGATTCTCAGGCAGCGAAGGAGTGACGGGAGCTGTTGCAAGTGTCAGCTGGTACCGAACGAGACGAGAGACCTGTCACTTACCTTGAGTTTCCTTTTTCTCTTTCTTCTTGTTGCCCTTACCACGACGACGCGGCGCCAGATTGGCGAGGGTGCTCACGGATTTTTTCATCGTACATGAGGCATCTTTCGATGGGGAGAAAGGAGTGGACAGGACGTCGAAAGTCCTAGCGGAAGAGAGAAAATCAACGACAAAAAAAATGAAGCGAATGTTGCTGAGGTTCTTGATGCTGCGAAGCTAGACAGTGAGTGATTAGCCAACCTGAAAGGTTTCTTCCCAAGTGCTCGATGCTGACGAACCAAAGCTGACGAATTTGAAGCGCTTCAGATGGCACTGATGGCAATCAGAGAGCGGCCTTTGGACAACGCCTCGTCTGGATCTGACATACCTTGCAACGGGATTGAAGTTCTTTTCCTGAGATCGACTGTTGCTAAAGCCAGCAACAGGCGACCGAGTTGATTGTTGCGATTGCTTCTGAGGAATTTGAGGAATCGTGGAAAGCGAACGTGGGGGACACGATGGTGAGGTGCGGAAAAGGAAAAAAAGAGGCGAGCGAACCGAAACCGCCCTTCCAACTGAACAGGTTTTTCCGTGGGAAGGTTCGGACGTTCCTCCTCTCAACACCAAGCCCACTGTCGTGGCTTCCTGTTTCGAGCCTCCGAGATAAGCCCTATGTTTCGTTCGGCGTTTGGTTATTCCACAGGGGGATAAGAGCGGAGACTCGAGCGTGGTCCCCGGGTGACTAGTGACTTGCACTGGAAACCTCAGGGGACGATAAGTAGGTCTACGGCATGAAGAGCGAGTCCAAGCCGCAATTTGAAAGAGCTCACGGAGGATAGGCTCAGTGGCTTTGTCTGGGTGTGAACCTGAGTGCCCCTGAAAGCCTCTGACTTGCACCATCCGGAGTTGTCATCTTTCAGTCTTGGGTTGCGGGGTGAGGCCCAACAAAGTCCTCATTCGAAAGGGGTTGCAGCATGTCGTCTAGGGAAACAGCAAAGATACTCGAACAGCCTCGAAGCAATCTCAAACAAACCTTTGGGAGATCTCGATTGTGTGTCATGTTGGTAAACATCATGGGTTGTGGCTGTGGCGGAGACTTACCTCAAGACATGAGAACGCCATGGCTGGTTATTGCGCTGAAGAAAAGCAGGAAACCGGGACTGCGCAGAGTCATTATCTAGCATTCTCGGCCCGAGGTTACACACATATCAGGGTATCGATAACTCTGTCTGGAGACACGGAGATGGCGTTTCGCATCAGGAAGAGCGAGGCCATGGGATCAAGCAGAACCATAAGACGATGGGGCGTAACATGGCTTGGGCAGATGGAGCACAACTTCACTGGGACATTTGATGTGTTTCTAGGAGAGTTGTTCACATTCTGGCAAAGAGACAATAAACATCCAGCTTGAATTTCGCAAGTGCTGACTCAACATACTCTAGCAGAAAAGGGGGTAACCATGAAGCATATGCTATATTGCCTATCCCATTAACCCGTAGAAATTTGATAGGAAAATTTTGTATGGCTATTCAAAAGTAAAACAATCATCCAAAACAGTCACATGTGGCAGGCAAAGAGATAGTCCAAAGATGAACATTGAATCCGGCTTCGTCCGACCATCACCGGAGTGCACCGTGGCCGGCGACGGGGCCTGCGGGCAGCCGTTTTGACCGGTGAACGTTCTAGATGGGGCGAACTACGGGGACGGAAGCTTAGGAGGGGCACCGGAGGAGAAGCCGGCCTGCAGCCAGCCGTAGCCACCTGCGGAGATGCTCGAAGCATCTCGGTGTTGGGATATGGATCCCTCGATAAGAGGTTTGTGCCCAGCCCTTCGCCTTTTGCCGTTACATGGGCAGCGGGCCAGGGGAGGGAAATTTCTAACAGAGCATGTCTCGGAAAGGAGACAGCGGTTCGGAATAACAGTAGGTACAGATCGCTGCAAGCAAACAAACATGGAAGGCAAATAACTCGCCAGCCGAGGTTTCTGACCATCTCGATCATCTTAGTCAGTCCTCATGGATGCAAGAGAAAGTTGCTGACCGGCTTACGGGCACGACATGCTCGGTTTCGCCGTTGGAACGCACGCGGACATCGGAAAATGCGAGAGGA